TTATTACCAGAGCATGCTGGTGAGAGATGAGGCCAATTTTCCATGCTCATCAATCTGGATTCCAAAAATGCCCATAAAGGTGTGTTTCTTTGCATGGCTAGCAGCGAGAGGAGTGATCTTGACTGCTGAAAATTTGCGAAAGAGAGGAATTACAGTTGTTAGTTGGTGCTACATGTGTAAAATTTCAGGGGAAGAAGTTGATCACCTGTTACTGCATTGCCCTGTTGCAGCGGGCCTGTGGAGAGCAATCTTGTGCTTCTTTGGAGTTTAATGGGTCATGCCTAGCACTGTTAAGGAAATGTTATACAGCTGGGCCGGTTCCCGTCGAAGAAGAAAGCAAAAGGCGTGGAAGTTCACCCCCTTAGCTCTCATGTGGATAGTTTGGGGGAGAGAAATAGGAGAGCTTTTGAGGGGATTGAGTCTAGTTTTTCTCACCTTAGGAATAGTCTTTTATCTTTAATCGCATTCTGGTGCAACCATATAGCACCTATGTGTATGGAAGTTTGGGCTTCTTTTGTAGAGAATCATGTTCTGTTGTAAATTCTCTACTTTTTATATACTTCTTGTACACGGGAGTTCTATCCCTCTTGATTAATACAATTTACCTTATCAAAAAAAAAGCTTCCATGAAGAAAAAGATGGGAGGATTGCACAAGACTATATAAGGAAGTCACACTTTGTTCCCTCAACTAATGTCGGACTTAACCCCTCCCCCCGCATGTATAGGACGGGAACTGGAACGTGGATAACATAATCCAAGGGCCCAACATTGAGAAAAACAACAACAGGAATCAATGGGTTTGGCTCAGATCCCATGTGAAGAAATGGGCCTTGCGCTAACTCAACCCCAGAGCCTAGCTTCAAAGTGCACGTGAAGTCCTACATATTCATTCATAGTCCCAAAAAAGGATTCAAGCCCCAAAAAGGTGTAAACAACACAAGAATATTCCAATTTCAATTAGATAATTCCCTCTAAGTTACCACTATTTTTAATAAACCCGTAAGAAGTTCACCATGATATGCAGGTCGTGCAAAGTGCAAAATTCTGATTTCAATGCCCTAGATCTGACCATCAGCATAAGGTCAGCCAAGTTCTCCAATTATCTTAAAGGATTCCAAATCCACCGCAGTCCTCCCATGAATAATGGCATGACAAAGGAAAAGTAGCTTAAAATACAAACAAAAATGCAAAAATCAAATGTTCTTTTCCACCCATAATTATCACATGGGCCTAGAGCAATATAATGCCTGTATAAATGAACTAGTATCTTTCATAGTTAGATCACTACATACTCCAAGCTAACAGAAACATTAGCTTCTTTTTTAAGAACTTACCCTTTCAAGGATCCTAAGAAATAAAGTACAATATACACACCAAATTACTGTCAATTTTAGCAGTCTTGGAAACTAAGCCCAGGATGTAAAATGTTACCTGAACTCGGACCATATCTCAAATGCAGAACCTGGAGGGAAAAACCTCCGGCAGGATCGAACAAGCGAAGTAACGGTCTCAAAATGTCGTTGTCTTATTCTCCAGCCTTCTGGGCCCGTATTCCTTTAGCAAATAAAATAGTTCAACAAATCAGCATATAATATACTAGAAAAACAGTCGCATGGTTAATGATATAACAGCTACATATTAAGTATCTGAACAATGAGATTTAGGTTTGTAATAAACTGATTAAAATACAGATCCCATTAGTTATGGTAGTAAAAATGTTAACCAAAAAAATGTATCGCCTCTATCTTCCAAAAGACAGAAATATGTAGAGTATGTGAGTAGTCAGATTTATAAAATATTACGCGTATAAACATCAGACTTCAGAAAGGAATGTACTTCCCATCCAGATTAACTAATAACGTCCAACACTCATTAAATTGTGAGCGACGCCTTGACAGAAAACATCAAAAAGAATCATTGCTTATTTGAATTACTCTGCCGTCAATATATCTTATGGAGATATGAGGCACCCCGTATGAGTTATAAAAGATGAGAATAACAGATGAATCTTCAAACTCCATTTGAAAGTGGCAGGGAGAGACGGGGAGAATTTTGAGAAGTACCTTCAACTATTTGCTAATTCAATAATTGAACTCAATACAAATATTCAGGTGTAGGTAATACGATGCAGAGGGTAAAAGGCATTGCAGAACTAGCGTTGTTTGAATAGGGACTTGAGATTGGTCTGTTTGGTCTTACAAGCAAGAGAGTTGGGGAGGCGGGTTGAAATGCAGAACTTGAATACAAAGAAAGAGGAAGAAATTCAATGCTCTTATCACTTTTACATCACGCCAATTCAATCGAAAGGGAGCCCGAGCCATGATAAGGTTTACAAAGCTATGAAAGGGTCGAACCATACTCCTAAACTATTGTCCAGCAACTATCAGTTTTCACAAACCTCATGGGGTTAAATCGCAGTGCTGGACAGTATATTAGCTGCAAAGGCATTCAGATGGAAAGAATGATATGAAATCCAGGTGGCCTAAGTGTGACCAAAATTGAATTAATTACTATGTCAATACAGAAAAGGTAATAAAAAGCAAGCTAATTGGGGAACAAAAGGTCACAAATAAAAGAAAAGTAGGGACTTGCCTTGTGAAGTGTGTGTGAACCAGAGTATCATACAAAGGGCGCCATTGAACTTCCAAAGCCAACTTTTTCCGGTATTTATTCAGTACCTTTACCAAGATATTTCCCCATCTAACCTGATGAGAGCAAATGACCTTAACTACATAAATAGACTGCCATCAAAAAGGATATGCACGAACCTGTAGCTTTTGGAAGAAATTACCTGAGCATAAAGTTTATTTTCTGATATACGGAACAATTCCAATCCAACTTCAACTACCTCTTTAACATCCTCCAGAGATAGTTCACTTTTTGCCTTTATGAAGCTGCACGTAAGTCCATTAGTCAGCAGGTTTTATATAATTCCACAAGTCTGTATCCCTTCAAAAAGAAATCTCCAGAATAGATATCTGACAAAAAAAGTTGTATCCGCATGCATGGATAAAAATCGTGATTTTCACACTGGATATATGCATATCGGTATCACAAAACCAAGGACCAATCACGGTTTCTTATCTAGGCGCCTATGTTGCATAAGAGAATACTTGAGTTTGATTACGCCCAGATTTTAAAACTATTATCAGATATATCAGTTAATGAATATTCACAAATACCTATATTGAATTAAAATTTGCAGATTCAAATTGGAGACACCACAATCGAGTATGTTAATCCATATTCAAAACTTCTTTTTTGATAAGGTCCATGTACAACTTCTTATACAAAGATTCATATGCTTTTGGGAGGTCGCGGCAAGAAGTTACTACCACCTCCTCTAGTGTTCTTTCTGCAGTACTTTCACTAACAAAAACTTACTGAATCAATATCCACATTTAGAAAATCAGCACAGCCACAAAAATTAAATTTTAAAGCCCACCCTCTGAACTTGTGAAATTAAATAGCAAAAGAGCCAACAGAAAAGTATGAAGGCTCCCCTAAGTCATGTAAGACAATAGACTAAAGACGAACCCAAGTTGTAACCAAGCCTTAATGTGCAAGAAATTTTTCTTTAGTCAAAACCAACTAAGCGTTAATCACAATCTAGTTGGGATCAACTATCTGAATCCTCACTAAATTTTTCGCTCCATTTAGATCAGTCACCGGGATGCCCTTTTTAGATCAATCACGTTTCAATTTTCAACAAATTAAGTTCTCTAACCCTACAAATTCACTACATTTTCTACTAACATATAAATCTTCCTACAAGATTAAAAAAACTCCTAGCATATACTGGATTGAGCATACCCAGAAGACTAAGCCTTAATATCAAAAAGTAGTTCCTCTTACAAGGATCTTTCTCTTCCATTCTGTTCTATTTCGTATTAAGTCTGCATAGGTTGCAAGCGATAAATTTGTCGTGCTAACTCCCTAAATCTTGTTCTCATATCAATTAGCGTTCTATTTTTATTTTTCAATTCTGTTGACAAATAGATATAAGACAGCACAATAATCATGTTTACTCGAATTCGAGAAATTAAAAGACCCCAGACGAGGAAAGTGAAAGAGAGTGCAAACCAGGGAGTAAAACGATGTAGCATCCAGAGATGGTACTTCAAGCATTTTAGGTTGTAATAGTCATTAGCAGTTAAAATATGAAGTAGTTAAGTACTCCCTCTGTCCTAATTATGCAATGCGCTTTCTAGTTTCGCCTGTCCCAGAAAGAATGATACTTTTTTATATTTACATACAATTTAACTTTAACTTCTCATTTTAGCCTTAATGATATGATTAAAGCCACACAAATATTTATGGCTTATTTAAGGTTACAAGTTTCACAAGTTTCCCTTTCTTTCTTAAACTTCATGCCAAGTCAAACTACATCACATAAAATGGGACGGAAAGAGTATTTTCTATTACATCAATTTAGTCCAAAGCTAGCTCCTTAGTCCGTTTGAGTCGTGGTGAGCTGTCCAAATTGTTATCAGTTTGTTAGAAGGTTCACGAGCTCAGTGAAGTGGGGAGGAGGAGCTTATACACGTGATTGTAATTGCAAATAGTTTATGCAATGAAATTGGTTCTTTTTTGCTTTATTTCTCTTTTTGCCTGTTTATTACTGAAATTGGTTGTGTAAGTGATTGATCAAAGTCAACGAGCAATAAAATTCAGTACCAGAGATTACGTATACAAAGAATTACTCGATTTTTAAAAAAAATAGGAATAGAAATGGACACTTACAGGTCAAGAACGGAAACCCATTTGAGAGTAGCGTAAACTGAATCGGGATCATCCGACTTGTATGATTCTTTAACAGATTTCACTACTTTGGCAAACGATTCTTTCTCCCCCTTTGTCTGTTCTGCCACCGGAGGAGGAAGCCAGGCGTTGTACATGTGCATTTTCTACTGATAATTGTGAAGATAACTAGCTTCTTTTGTGTAGGAATTGAATCCTCTAATCAATATATTAGAGAACCCCTCAACTGGAATATATAGTGTACCCACTAGCCAGGGTCTTCTTTCTTTCTTCCCAAGACAGAATTTGACATCAGGGGACCCGTAATCAAGCTTGGAATTTGTCTAACGTCATCTCTTTCTTCTCATTTATATTAGTAACCACTTTTTCATTTTTGGACTTTCTAAAATATTTGATGAAAATAATTATATTGTGGTCATTTAATACTTATAATCTTCCGCAAGAAGATTATCCATTTAGTACTCTGTTGAAGTTTATCTACAAGCAGCTAATGCAGGCAGGTTGCAAGCAACTCAATGAAATGATTTTCAGCAGCTTCTTATTAAACAGACAGGTTGCAAGCAGCTTATGCAGACAGCTGACAAGCTGCTTCCTGAAGCCTCGCAGCTGCTTCATTTCTTCTATAAATAGAGGAGTTTTCAGTTCATTATGTACATCAGTTTGAAAGTTCAATAATATATCAATCTCTCTCCCTATACTTGTCTTTGATTTATTTACTTTACAGTCTTTATTTTATAACACGTTATCAGCACGAGACTCTGCCATTTTGAGCACTTACTTCGAATTTGATTTTCCTATCTCAGGTAAATGGTAGAGCTTTAAAATTAAGTAAGTTCTAACCAACTGAGGTGTTGAGATGCTGGCAGTAACGTCCCTTCCGATTGAAGATATGTATTCCAACTAAAGTCACGTTCTTGGTTACGATGATTTCATGAGCATCATCGTCTACCATGTATAAAACACAAGCACCACTTTAAAAGCATTTCATGCTTATCAGGTAAGGTTTTTACCTTATATTGAAGTCCTATAACTTGATTCTAAAGGCGAGCAAAGACAATAAGTTTGCTTGCAACTCTGGTAGAGTTTGAAAGTAATATACAACTATCAGAAGTGGTTATGTTTCATATATCTCATTGTAACCAAATTTTGGTAACTACCAGAAGTGATATATGCATATGACTACCAGAAGTGATAATTTATGATTCTATGGTTACAATTGAAGATAAATTAGAGAAAATTTCTCTACATTACTTGCATGCCTCGATTTGCTCCTGAAGTAGCAATATCTTAAAAGAGGTTCTAAGTCATCACACAATTTGGTGTGATTAATTCACATTTAAATAGTTATGTTTCGTTCCCCGAAGGATGAGAATTTTTGATATATATTAATCCATTCCCCGAAGTGAATGTGACAATATTAATAAAGCTCGTAAATATGAACGCGTTTTTGATGTGAATATATTACAATTCACCTCCAGAAGAGGTATGTGTTTGAGGGAATATATACTCAATATTTCGTATTTTAAATTTGCTCCTGAAGAAGTAACACAATTGAAATTTTCTCCTGAAGCAGGAAAATATTATGAAACTGTGTCTTTCTGTGCTTAAACAAAATAATAAGCTATTCAAAGTTATTTTTGAAGCACATTTTCATTCCCTGGAGTGAATGACGAAATACCACAACTCACCTCCTGAAGAGGTAGAATAACAAAGGATATAAATCTTGTTTTTGTGGCATAAAGATCATTGTCGCACGTACCCATTGTACGTAAAATATCTTGGAATATTTTATTAAATATCATTCCAAGGCAAAAGCATTCTTGTAGAATATTTTCTACTACAACCACATTAATATGTTATGGTTAGTTATCGAGTTCCCCGAAGAAAATAACAACTCGTGTATCTTTACCTGAAGGATGTAATAACTATGTGGTTACCGCTTTGATATAAAATATTCAGATGTTAATGGCATTTCTCCCTGAAGGAGACATTTGTCACAAAGTTGGTGGATACCAGAAGTGTCTGAGCAATATTTGATAGTACAAAATATATCAACAACTCCTGAAGAGCTAACTGTTTGTCTATAAGACACATGACACCAGTAGTGTCCGATAAATATTAGATTATGGATAATAAATAAAGTCTCTCGAAGAGCTTATATACAAATATGTCATTCATATTATATGACTATGGTCAAAACATATGTTGTAGTAAACCTGAAGTTTACTAATACAAATGACAATCATACTGAGACTACAAATGATTGGAAGATTGAAAATTATCATGTTTCCACAATCATAGGGGGTAAAATAATATGTATGTGAGAAGTTACTCGCCTTATTCTTCAATTTTGTACTATATCATGTATCATAGTAAACCAAAAGTTTACTAATACAAAAGTAGCCACAGTAAATCAGAAGTTTACTAATGCAAAGGTTTATGTCATAGTAAACCAAAAGTTTACTAAGAGATAGCGCATGCCATGATAAACTTGAAGTTTTCATTTGCCATTTTTAAATGAGCTATTTGAGAATTCAGATAAGCATATACTGAAGAACTAGAAGATTCTTTAAAGAATTCTCATGTGTTGCTTGATCTCATAATAAATTGATTATACCAGCTAAAGTTGGGACTAAGACCCCTGATTCTGAAATATATAAAAGGTGAATATGGGCTCCTTCACCTATCATGTGAACCACTTATAGATGCATATATAAGATGGTTACATGTGTGTTCATTGTCAACCTGCAGTTTGGCATTTGAAATTGTTTTTCTCAACTAAGAGCAAAACTTTCAGATTATGAAATCAAGACAGTTCATCTTGATAATGCTGGTTTGCATCCAAGCTGGTTTAGCATTGAATACCTCCTATTAATGGCTAAACCATTGCTTATGAGAACAAAGCTTCATGTGTTGGTCTAAGATTTTCTAAATTGCATATAGCAACACTTGTATGCATCAGACCAACAATATATGATAAGTCCTCCTCTCACAATTGGTTTAGGATCAGAAATCAAATATTTTTACTATCTTTTGATGTGTGGTATATGATTAATTTCTTTACAACAATGCACAAAGATATGTTTTCCAAAGAAGATTGGGAATATATGTTAGTTTTCTAACATTTGGGGATGGAATAAACAGCTAAAAATATGCTATATGAATCGAATTATCATTAATATGATCCTCACTTAGAAGATAATTCAAGTCAAATGCAGAAACATTGTTGATCCAAAATCAAATATCATATTTCAGCTGCAAATGCTCCTATTAAAATTTAAAGTTCCTGAATGATAGAGTTTACTATACGCATGAAGCGTGGTAGACCAATCGGTTCCAAAGGTAACAATCCTTG